TGTTTTTTTTTTTTTGAGACAAACTTGCACTCTTGTTGCCTGGCCTGGAGTGCAATGCTGCAATCTCCGCTCACTGCAGCCTCCACCTCTGGGATTCAAGTGATTCTTCTGCCTCAGCCTCCCAAATAGCTGGAATCACAGGCATGCACCACCATGCCCAGCTAATTTTGTCTTTTTAGTAGACATGGGGTTTTTCTATGTTGGTCAGCCTTGTCTGGAACTCCCGAGCTCAGGTGATCTGCCTTCCTTGGCCTCCCAACATGCTGGGATTACAGGCATGAGCCATCACTACCAACCTCAACTTTATTTGGTGTTTTTGACAATCAGAGATTGGTTTTTATCTGCAGTGCTGGTCTGCAGTTTTCTGAAAGTGGTAACAGGTACCCAGGTAACCACAGTATAGAGGTTATTTGGTGACTCTTCATCATCATTACATTGTCTGGACAACCGCACGTGGACGTGGTGTGGGACAGTCCTTATTCCTTTGGCCAGGACAGCTTTGTTGAGCCTGGAGTCAGTGCACGCACCTGGACTTCCCATCTCCTTCATGGGAAATTTATGAATGTTGTTGAGCGCCCGAGGGGCATGCTTGAAGCCCACCCCGTGGATGCGCTTGTGAATGCTGATGGTGCGGTCTCGGGTCACCGCCTCATTGGGGGCAGAACGACCTTTTCTTCTCCCCACACCTGTTTGCGGGAGCCATTCTGCCGGGTCCAAGTTGGAAAGCTTGCTGACTTTGAATAATGTTTAAGGTTTGCTCTGTGTCCATCATTGAGCAGCAAGGTTTTTTTTGGTTGTTTTTTGTTTCTTGCTGGAGTGCAGCTGTGGGATCTTGGCTCACTGCAACCTCCTCCTCCTGGGATTAAGGAATTCTCCTGCCTCAGGATCCAGAGTAGGTGGGATTAGAGACACCCACCGCCACGCACGGCCAAGTTTTGTATTTTTAGTAGAGATGGGGTTTTAGCATATTGGCCAGCCTGGTCTCTTGGCCAGGTGTTCTCCTTCTCCTGACCTTGTGATCTGCCTGCCCTGGCTGCCCAAAGTTCTGGTGTTACAGGCTGAGCCACCACCCTGGACTTTTTTTGTTAAAGATAGAGTCTCATTCTTGTCACCCAGGCTGGACTGTAGTGGTGCAATGTTAACTCATTGCAACCTTTATCCCCTGGGCTCAAGTGATCCTCCCACCTCAGCCTCATAATTAGCTGGGAACACAGACAGAGATGTGTACCAGCATGCCTGGCTAAGTGTTTGTATTTATCATAGAGATGGCATTTCACCATGTTGCCCAGGCTGGTCTCCAACTCCTTGCTGAAGCCATCCACCTCTCTTGGCCTTCCAGAGTGCTGGGATTAAAGTTCTGAGCCACCACACCCAGCCTCTGCCAGGGCTTTGGTAAGGGCTAGGTCTGTGCCCTGCAGGGGAGCTCATTCCATCCCAGCTCCCCACTGATGCAGTGTGTCTGGGGGCTTCTCCGGGGGGAAGCGGGTTCAGAAGAGAGGGATAAAAAAATCACTTAGTTTTCTTCTAGGAGTGTATCATCCGTGGTGCAGTGGGCAGCAGAGGGAACCCTATTTGCTCAGGGTGAGGTCTCCTTTGTATGTGTCATTGTGTTCCAGGGAGGGGGTTAATTCTAAGCAGTAAACCACATATTTTTAACATTCAGGATTGACTTCTAATGACTCTTGATACGTGAGGAAGAGCCCCGGAAGAGGAAGAGGAAAGCAAAGGAGTCAGGGATGGCTCTTCCTCAGGTGAGATGATCTTCTCGGTGGATTGTTCTGTCTCCTTCCTTTCAGAAATGCTGGCCTTGGAGTTGGGAATCTTCTCTGAGTCTGAAGTGTCCTGCCTGCCAGGTTTGCTGGCACTCACGCATGCCTTCCCTCAGTCCCTCTCATGTCAACTAGATTCCATCTCTGGTGACCCAGTGACAGGAGCGTGGGAAGAGGCTACACTGGTAATGGTCCTGGGAAGGGCTCACCCCAGATGTGGATGGAGACGGGGTGTGGGCCCAGTGGTGTCAGGGCTGCTGGGCAGCAGGGATTGTTCAGGGGCCACATCTGATGCACCGTCAGCTCTCTGTAGACCAGGGGTAGAGCAGCTGCCAGTAAAAGTCATGTATTAATGTGCACAAAGTACGTGGCAAATTCCAGAAAGGGAGTCCAATAAGGGGAAGTCTTTTCTGCCTGATTTTATGGTACGTTTTTAGGTAATTGAGTGAATTTCTGTGTTTCTGATGTTAATCATCTCATCTTAATGATTAGAATGGAGCATTAATACACAAACATGAATGATACAAGGTGTTTCATTTTCATTAGTTTAAGTATGAGAAACCAACCTAAATCATAGCAGGAGATTCATTAAAACATTCTTTTTTTTTTGAGACGGAGTTTCGCACGTTACCCAGGCTGGAGTGCAATGGTGCGATCTCGGCTCACTGCAAGCTCTGCCTCCTGGGTTCAGGCAATTCTCCCGCCTCAGCCTCCTGAATAGCTTGAATTACAGGCGCGCACCACCATGACCACCTAATTTTTTGTATTTTTAGTAGAGACAGTGTTTCACCTCGTTGACCAGGATGGTCTCGATGTCTTGACATACTCGTCCACCCGCCTTCGCCTCCCCAAGTGCTGGGATTATAGGCATGAGCCACTGCGCCCAGCCTCATTAAACCATTCTTAGTGCATTAAGCTCATGAACACTGTGGTGTTGCTGTGGAAAGGCTTTGAAACAGGCCTTTTCAGTAAAAATGGTTCTAATGTTCCTAAATATGGGAGCAGGACTTCATTTTTATCCTAAAGGGTGGAGCTATATTCTCATTCTACCTGTTATTAATATTATTGTTTTTGAGAAATCGTTGCTCTGTCATTCAGGCGGGAGTGCAGTGGTGTGATCTCGGCTCACTGCAACCTCTGCCTCCCTGGTTCATGTGATTCTCCCGCTTCAGTCTCCCAAATAGCTGCCAGTATAGGCCCCTGCCACCACAGCCAGCTAATTCTTCTGTGTTTTTAGTAGAGATGGGCTTTCACCACGTTGGTCACGCTGGACTCAAAGTCCTGACCTCAGATGATGCACTTGACTTAGCCTCCCAGAGTGCTGGGATTACAGGTGTGGCCACTGTGCCCAGCCCCACCAATTATTACTCAATAAACGTTTTTGTATTTAAACACCACGTGATGTATGTATTTGTTTTGTGGTAAAGCTCCAGGCAGAGCTGCAGCTGAGCCCCTTGGCCATAAAGCTCCTCCTTCCCCTGTCACGTCCTCCACCCTCCTTCTAGCCTCACTGGGGACCCACTACTATCAGTTCTGTGTCAGGTGTCAGGGCAAGTCTTATAATCGTGTATTTCTGCATCTGTATGAGACTTTTAGAAAAAATTCTGCACTGAGAAAAGAAATTTCTTTATATATTTATTTTTTAACTTTAGACTACGTGTGAAGGTTTGTCACATAGGTAGGCTCGTGTCATCGGGGCTTGTTTTACAGTTCATTTCATCACCTTACCTAATAGTTATTTTTTATTTACCTTTTCTTTTTTTTTTTTTTTGGGACGGGAGTCTCGCTTGTCACCCAGGCTAAAGTGCAGTGGCAGAATCTTGGCTGACTGCATCCTCCACCTCCCGGGTTCAAGCAAGTTTCTGCCTCAGGCTTTCAAGCACCTGGAATTGTAGGTGTCCGCCACACTGCCGGGCTACTTTTTGTATTTTTATTAGAGATGGGGTTTTATGCTCTTGGCCAGGCTGGTCTGAAACTCCTGACCTCAAGATCTGCCGACTTTGACCTCCCAAAGTGCTGGAATTACAGGCATGACCAACTGCACCTGGCTGTTTACCTTTTTTTTTTTTTTTTTTTGAGACTGAGTTTTTTCTTTGTCACCGAGGCTGGAGTATAACGGCATAATCTTGACTCACTGCAACCTTCACCTCCTGGGTTCAAGGGATTCTCCTGCCTCAGCCTCCTGAGTAGCTGGGATTACAGGTATGTGACACCATACCCAACTAATTTTTGTATTTTTAGTAGAGAAAGGGTTTCACCATGTTGGTCAGGCTGGTCTCAAACCTCTGACCTCGTGATCTGCCTACTTTGGCCTCCCGAAGTGCTAGGATTACAGACATGAGCCACTGTGACTGGCTAATTTTTGTATTTTTAGTAGGGACAGGGTTTCACCATGTTCAACACACTCGTCATATACTGCTGAGCTTAGATGATCCACCCACCGTGCCCTTCCAAAGTGCCGGGATTATAGCCATTGCCGTCACGCCCAATTGAATTTTAGTTTGCGATTTTTCACTGTGGACATTGTCATTTCTGAAAACATCATTCATGTTCTGTCTCATGTAGATACAAAATGTTACTTGGTGTGTCAGTAAAATTTTCAAACATTTCTTTAGTGAGAAGGCTGCTTTTTTTGATTCGTGTTTTTTTTTTTTCATTGAACACATTTAATAGCTGCTGTGTGTATTTCTTGCGTTATCCACAAACACAAGAAATCCATACCAAGAGGGCATCATGACCTTTTCAAAAAGTATAATAAACACAACTGGGAAGACATAATGTGGTGAAAAATTCCTTTCTCCCTTTTTCAGAATATTTCCTACAATTAAATCTATACTTCAGCCAGGCGCGTTGGCCCAAGCCTGTAATCCCAGCACTTTGGGAGGCCAAGGCAGGTGGATCCATGAGGTCAAGAGATCCAGACCATCCTGGTCAACATGGTGAAACCCCATCTCTACAAAATACAAAAAATTAGCTGGGCATGGTAGCGCACTCCTGTAATCCCAGCTACTCAGGAGGCTGAGGCAGGAGAATTGCCTGAACCCAGGAGGCGGAGGTTGCGGTGAGCTGAGATCGCACCATTGCACTCCAGCCTGGGTAACAAGAGCGAATCTCCGTCTCAAAAAAAGAAAAAAAAAAAAATCCGTGCTTTCACCTCTGTCCTCTTGTCATTCTCAGTAAAGATCAGAACTCCTCCCGTAACCATGTGGTTGAAATGTGTTTTCATTTCAGGGTCTATTGACATTCAGGGATGTGACCATAGAATTCTCTCAGGATGAGTGGAGATGCCTGCACCCTGCTCAGAAGACTTTATACAGGGACGTGATGCTGGAGAACTACAGGAACCTGGTCTCCCTGGGTGAGTCCAACTGTCCCCGGAAGTGGGGACGTGCCCTTGCGTATGTTTGTATTTTCTCTTGCTGCCTCCTGGGAGCCACATCCTGTCTTGCCTAAAATGGAAGCCGTATTGATTTCGAAATGAAAAGCTTCTGGATTTTAAGTGTCTGTTTTGTTTAGATGTTGTGCATTCTTCCTGATACCTCACGGGGGTTTCCAGAAGTAAAGTAGGCAAAAACCTGATGGCAGGCCAGGTGCAGTGACTCAGGCCTATGATCCCAGCACTGTGGGAAGCTGAAGCTTGTGGATGGCTTCAGGTCAGGAGTTCAAGACCAGCCTGGCCAACATGGAGAAACCCCGTCTCTACCAAAAATGCAAAAATTTGCCAGTCATGATTGTGCCCTCAAGTAATTCTAGATACCAGAAAGGCTGAGGAAGTAGAATCCCTTGAACCTGGGAGGCAAAGGTTGCAGTGAGACGAGATCATGCCACTGCACTCCAGCACAAGCTACAAAGCAAGACTCTGTCTCAAGAAAACAAAAGGAAAACCTTCTGGCAGACTTGAAAGATACCCAGTTCCCTGTTTGTTACTCCTGTGCTTTTTACTCAGTAGTTCCTAGAAAGAAGCGTGATTTCCACATATTACAAGGCTCTCTAAGCATTCCGAAGGAGGCAGTCAGTGGAGCAGTGTGAAATATTTTCCTCGATCCACCTGGAATGTCTTCTTTCCAACTGGGGCACTAGAAAAGCTCCAGCACATCACATTTCTTTCTCTTTGCAAGCAGGAGCCTCTGTCTGACCTGTTGTCTCCATGATGAAGCCAGGGAAAGAGCTCTGGACTGTGGAGAGTCAAGTAAAAATATCAGAAAAATCTAGATGGGTGGGAATGTACTACAGCTGTAAACACAAGTGGGAGCTAAGATGGGCAGAGTAGAAACTGCACCTTCAAATAGTGTGTGGGGATGTGTGGCCAAAAAAAACGATGAGCTTATGTCCTTTGCAGGGACCTGGATAAAGCTGGAGACCATCATTTTCAGCAAAATGGCACAAGAACAGAAAATCAAACACTGCATGTTCTCATTCATAATTGAGTGTTGGACAGTGAGAACACATGGACACAGGGAGGGAAACATCACACACTAGGGGAGGGATGGCAGGGGTGGGGACTAGGGGAGGGAGAGCATTAGGAGAAATACCTAATGCAGATAACGGGGTGATGGATGCAGCAAACCACCATGGCATGTGGATACCTTTGTAACTAACCTGCTTGTTCTGCACGTGTACCCCAGAACTTAAAGTATAATAATAATAAATAAATACAGTAAATACATAAAGAAGTAAATAGTGAGTGAGGAAACTCTGCAAGCGGGAGAATTCTGTGGAAAAAGGAAAGCTTAAATTCTGAGATCTCTGAATGGACACCTTTCTTTGTCCCCACTTTTCCTTGGTTTGCTGTTTATTTATTTTTGAGATGACATCTTGCTCTTTTGCCTAGGCTGGAGTGCCGTGGCACATAGTTCACTGCAACCTCTGCCGCCTGGGTTCAACATGATTCTCCTGCCCAAGCCTTTCAGGTAGCTGGGATTACAGGTGTGCACCACCATCAGACCTAGCTAATTTTGTATTTTTAGCAGAGACAACGTTTCACTGTGTTGGCCAGGCTGGTCTTGAACTCCTGATTTCAGGTGATCCACCCCCCTCAGCCTTCCACAGTGCTGGGATTGTAGGTGTGAAACACTGCGCCCGGCCCCTCTGCCCTTCAGATGTGCAGTAGTTTGATCTTTGGGCGTTCTGGCAGTGCTGCAGCTCAGAGACAAAGGCAGAGTCTTTATCCTGTTGGCAACACCCTGTCATCTGGCTTCTGTGACCTCTTTGGTTTCTTGCCTCTGTGGCTCAGGGAGAGCTGTCAAAGGGTTTGTTCCCCCTGCGGTCTCCTCTGTACTTGATTCCATGTGATGCTCCGTTCTCTGTCCCTGTAGCTCAGAACTGAGGCCTCCGTACACCTGCCCCTTGACCTATTCAGGTTCCATCCCATTTTCTGTACTCGCAACACCTAATCAGGAGATGGGAAATACGGGCTGTTCCTTTTTTGCATCTGGGGCCCGTAACAATGCCCAGAGCTTTCTCTGCTTGTTTAAATTGTCTACTTGTCTATTTGGGGAAAAAAAAAGGCCACATACAGTGGCTCACACCTGCCATCCCTGCACTTTGAGAGGCTGAGGAAGGCGGATCACTTTAGGTCAGGAGTTTGAGACCAGCCTGGCAACATGGTGAAGCCCCATCCCGACTGAAAATGCAAAAAGTAGCTGAGTGTGATGGTGTGTGCCTTTAATTCCAGCTACTTGGGAGACTGAGGCAGGAGAATCTCTTGAACCTGAGAGCCAGAGGTTGCAGTGAGCTAAAATTTCACCCCTGCACTCCAGCCTGAGTGACAGAGCAAGACTCTGTCCTCCCATACACAGGAAAAAAAAAAATCAGAAATGCTTTTCCTACTCTCACATGCCACCTTGCACTGAACGCCTCAATTCTGACGACGAGAAGTGGATTTCTTCCCAATTACATCCAAATCTTTGAACGGACACAAACTGAATTTCTTGTAGTTTAATTCAGTTCTGACACTGTCTACCCGGAGTTTGAGTCAGATCTCACAGGTGAAGGGTTGAGTTCCCAGGCCAGCAAGGGCGGCCCCGGACCTCACAGAGCAGTTGCAAGTGTAGATTGTCACATGTTCCTCTGACCAACCAGCTGTAAGTTGGGTTCCCTCAACCCCTTTCTTGGGTTTGCTTTGCTAGGGTGGCTCACAAAACTCAGTGAAACACCTTCTTAGGTTCATGATAAAGAATGTTTCACAGGACACAGAGGGACAGCCAGATGAGAAGATTCACAGAGTGAGGCACTAAATTGTAAATGAATAGTCATTCTCTGATATAACAGTTCCATACATTATTGATATTAAAAAAGAACACAAAGACTATCATAAAAAATAGGAAAATGAGCCATACTCAGTGGCTCATGCTTGTAATCCCAGCATATTGGGAGGCCAGGTGAATCATGAGGTCAGGGGTTCGAGACCAGCCTGGCCAGCGGCGTGAAACCCTGTCTCTTCTAAAAATAAAAAAATTGGCTGGGCATGATGCCACACACCTGTAGTCCCAGCTACTCTGGAGGCTGAGGTGGGAGAATCACTTGAACCTGGGAGGTGAAGGTTGCAGTGAGCCAACATCACGTCACTGCATTCCAGCCTGGTGACAGAGGAAAACTCCGTCTCAAAAAAAAAAATAGAAAAATGATTATGAAATCAGTAAAATCCAAGATCATGTGTAATATATAAAAATGTACTGGATGAACATAGAAGTAGCTTAAACAAATATCAGTGCACATAAAACCAGAGGCGTCTTTGCAGTGAGCTGTGCTCCACACAAGGACCATGGGAAGATTACAGGTGTGCCATGCTCCAGGCTCCTGCGTGTGTTCGGCATTTGGAATCTCTCGTATCCCCCACAGTTTAGGGATTTGCATGGAGGCTTCACCACGTAGTCATGATTGGTATTAGCTCAGTCTTCAGCCCCTATCCCCTTCCTGGAGGATGGTGGATGGCAGTGACTGTTCCATGCTTCTAAGCCTGGCCTGGTCTTGCTGGTGATCAGCCCCATCCAGGAGACCTCAGAGGTTTCCTCATAAGGACAAATGGCCTTCCCATCACCCGGGACATCTCCCGGTCTTCGGAGCTCTGTGTCTGAAACCGGGGAAGAGACCAATATATGCATCTCTTCTCATGTCACAGGGTTCCTCAGCCATTCTCCGGTTATGCTTCACCCACACTAGTAGTGTGTGTCACAGAGGAGTGGGTAGATTTTTCTGAGATGGTTACTCAGCTGAGTGGGAAAGACAGTCAACAGGAAGGCCGTATGTTGCATCCTGAGGTCCTCTTGGAAGTACGGCTCACAGGGAAGACGCCTCTGGTTTGAAGTTCACTGTTACGTGTTTAAGCCGCTGCTACTTTCATCTTATACATTTCTACATATTACACACGATTCTGGATTTTATCGATTTATAATCAGTTTCTTTTTTGTGTGTGTGTGACGGAGTCTCTTTCAGTCACTCAGACTGGCGTGCAGTGGTGCAATCTCAGCTCACTGTAGCCACTGCCCACTGGGTTCAAGTGATTCTTCTGCCTCAGCCTCCTGAGTAAGTGCGATTACAGGTGTGTACCAGCACGCCCAGCTAATTTTTGTATTTTTAGTAGAGATGGAGTTTTACTCTGGTGGCCAGGCTAGTCTCAAAAACTACTGTCCTGAAGTGATCTACAAGCTTAAGCCTCCCACAGTTCCGGGAATACAGCGTGAGCTACGTGCCCGGCCTCCCACAGTGCCAGGATTACAGCGTGAACCATGCGCCCGGCCTCCTTCTCCACTTTTATTGGTCAGGTCTCTTGTTTTTTCTGTTACTGAAAGTCTTATGTTGAAATCATCTAGTATTACGGTGTAGCGATTCATTTGATTCTGTAAACATTGGCTTTAAATATGGAGCTCTGATATTCTTGCATATGTATCTCTAGTTCTTGTATATTAATGGTGAATTGACCCTATTATCATGATATAATGTCCTTTCTTGTCTCCAATAAAATAGTTTTGAGTTAAAACGTATTTTAGTATTGCCAGCTCTCCTCTCTCTGGATGACAGTTGCTTGGGATATTATGTTTTATCTTTTGTGTTATTTTCTATTAAAAAAGTTTTGAGATACAGTGTCTTGCTCTGTCACCCAGGGTGGAGTACAATGGTGTCATCATGGCTTACTGCAACTTTGAATTCCAGTGATTGTCCCGCCTCAGCCTCCCTGGGTAGCTGGTACAGGTGCATGCCACCATGGCGGGCCAATGTTTTAGGTTGTTTTTTTTTTTTTTTCGTAGATACAGTGTCTTGCTGTGTTGTTGCACTTGGTCTTGAGATCCTCCTCAGCCTCCTGCATACCTGAGATGACAGGCCTCAACCCTCATACTATCTGTTGGTTTTTATTTTTTAAATTGTAGAATATGTGTGTCCTTAGGGCTAATACGAGTCTTCTGTGGACAACACGTAGTTGGCTCCTGTTGATTCAGCCAGTCTTTTTCTTCTGAGTGCAGAGTTAAGTATTTACATTTGAAGTATTACTGATGGAGAAGACCTTACCGTTGCCTTTCTGTTACCTGTTATCTGTCATTCTTGTAGGTTTTTTTTGTTCTTCCTCATATGCTGCTTTTTGTGTTTCATTGCTTTTTTGTGTAGACATGCTTCGACTCCCTTCTCATTTATGTTTTTTTAAGTTTTATTTATTTATCTTTGAGATGGAGTCTCGTTCTGTCACTCAGGCTAAGTGCAGTGGCGCAGTCATGGCTAACCATAGCCTCCGCCTGCCAGGCTCCAATGGTTCTTATGCCCCAGCTTCCTGAGTAGGTGAAACTACAGGCGCCCACCACCACCCCCAGCTAATTTTTGTGTTTTTAGTAGAGTTGAGGTTATACCATGTTGGTGAGGCTGGACTCGAACTCCTGATCTCAAGTGACCCATCTTCCTCAGATTCCCAAAGTGCTGGGATTACAGGCATGAGCCTCTGTGCCCAGCCATTGTTATGATTTAAAATCGTTTGTCTTTTAGGTTTTAGTAAACACGTAAGTGGTTTAAGCATGATTATAACGTGAATATAACAATCACGTTAGTGTGCATTCCTTTCAGTATGAAGAACTGAAGTGTGTTGGATAGATATTTGGGGGAAGTTGTAGTATAATAATGAGACTTAAAATTTCCATAACCTGGCCTGGTGGAGTTGCTCATGCCTATAATCTCAGCACTTTGCGAGGCTGAGGCGGGCCGAATACCTGAGGTCAGGAGTTCAGAACTAGCCTGGCTAACGTGATGAAACTCCGTCTCTACTAAAAATACAAAAATTAGTTGGGTGTGGTCATGGGTACCTATAATCCCAGGTAGTCCAGAGATTGAGGCAGGGAGGCAGAAGTTTCAGTGAGCCAGCATCGCGCCATTGCAGTGCTATGATTGTTTGACAATACAGAATTTCCATTAGATTTTGGTTATCTTTACATGAGCTCATTGTGGGTTATTTATCAATATAGTATGTGTGGTTCTTTAGTATTCATTTGTACACAGTAAATATGCTGCAAATACTAAGAATATATATTTTCCGGGCGCAGTGGCTCACGCCTGTAATCCCAGCACTTTGGGTGGCCGAGGTGGGTGGATTACAAGGTCAAGAGATCAAGACGATCCTGGTCAACATAGTGAAACCCGGTTTCTACTAAGAAAAATACAAAGCCGGGCGCGATGTGTCACGCCTGTAATCCCAGCACTTTGGGAGGCCAAGATAGGTGGATCATGAGGGCAACAGATGGAGGCCATCCTGGTCAACATCGTGAAACCCCGTCTCTACTAAATACAAAAATTAGCTGGGCATGGTCGTGCGTGCCTGTAATCCCAGCTTCTCAGGAGGCTGAGGTAGGAGAATTGTTTGATCCCAGAAGGCGGCGGTTGCGGTGAGCCAAGATCGTGCCATTGCACTCCAGCCTGGGTAACAACAGCAAAACTCCATCTTAAAAAAAAAAAAATTAGCTGGGCATGGTGCCATGTGCCTGTAATCCCAGCTACTCAGGAGGCTGAGGCAGGAGAATTGCCTGAACCCAGGAGGCGGAGGTTGCGGTGAGCCAAGATTGCACCATTGCACTCCAGCTTGGGTAACAAGAGTGAAACTCCGTCTTAAAAAATATATATGTATGTATATATTTTTCTCGTCATTTATATGCCAGTATATATATGCATATATATACATATATAATTTTTTTTTTCTTTTGACACGGAGTTTTGCTGTTGTTACTCAGGCTGGAGTGCAATTGCATGTCCGCGGCTCACCACAACCTCTACCTCCTGGGTTTAGGCAATTCTCCTGCCTCATTGTTCCGAGTAGCTGGGACTACAGACACGTACCACCATGCCCAGCTAACTTTTTGTATTTTTAGTACAGACAGGGTTTCTTAGGTCAGGAGATTCAAGACTAGTCTGACCAACATGGTGAAACCCTGACTTTATTTAAAAAAAAAAAAAAAGAAATATTGTTTGCTTTGCAACGTGTTATACACTTTAGGGTCACTGTGGAAAAATACTCCTTTATTTAGGCTTACACATGTTCGTTTCCTGTCAGTGTTTTGTTGTGATACTGGAAATAGGCTTCAGTAGACATGACTTGAAGTCAATGTAATCACCGTTTATTTATTGAAGAGTCTCACTTCTTTTGTGTTCCTTTTTGTGTGTCATATTTATATATTTTAGTATTATACACCATTTGTACTTAATTGGAAACCTATTTGTGTTTATATTTTGTAGATATCTCTTCCAAATACAAGATGAAGGGGCTCTTGTCAACAGCACAAGGCGATACAGACGGGTTCCACACAGGGATATTAGATAGACATGAAAGTCATCACATTGGAGATTTTTGCTTCCAGGAAATTGACAGAGATATTCATGATTTTGAGTGTAGAAATAGCCATGAGGCGCTCATGAGAAAAGTTGAAAAGCTTCCTTGTGGTACAGACCAAGATGACGAAAGGCACTCTGGCAACAAGCCTGTTACAGATCAGCTGGGATTAAGCTTTCATTCGCATTTGCCTGAACTGCACATATTTCGGACGGAAGGGAAATTCGGTAATCAAGTTGAGAAATCTATCAATGATGTTTTCTCAGTTTCAGCAACCAAAATCATTTCTTGTAGGCCCCAAACCCATATTTCTAATAAGTATGACAACTTCCCCCATTCTTCATTACTCACACAAAAACCGAAAGTACACGTGAGAGAAGTATCTTTACAATGTCTTGAGAAAGAAGCCTCTAACTGTAGCTCTCTCTTGAGGAAACATCAGATAATCCATTTAGGAGAGAAACAATATGAATGTGATGTGTGTGGAAAGGCCTTTAATCAGAAGCCATACCTTGAACGCCATCGTAGATGTCACACTCGTGAGAAATCTTACACGTGTAATGAGTGTCACAAGAGCTTCAGTCAGAAGTCAACCCTTACACGCCACTCTAGACTTCACACTGGAGAGAAACCTTACAAGTGTAGTGAGTGTGGCAAGACCTTTAGTCAGATGTCATCACTTGTAGTCCATCATAGACGTCATACTGGAGAGAAACCGTATCAATGTAGTGAGTGTGGCAAGACCTTCAGTCAGATGTCATCTCTTACATATCATCGTAGACTTCATACTGGAGAGAAACCATACAAATGTAAGGTGTGTGATAAGGCTTTCGGGCGTGGTTCACACCTGATGCAACATTCTAGAATTCACACTGGAGAGAAACCTTACAAGTGTAAGGAGTGTGGCAAAGCCTTTCGAGGGCAGTCAACACTTACTTACCATCAGTCCTCCCATGGTATAGGGAAACTTTACAAGTGTAATGATTGTCATCACGTCTTCAGTAACGCTACAACCATTGCAAGGCATTGGAGAATCCATAATAAAGAAAGATCTTACAAGTGTAATAAATGTGGCAAGTTTTTCAGACATCGTTCATACCTTGCAGTTCATCGGCGAACTCACACTGGAGAGAAACCTTACAAATGTGAAGAATGTGATGCAGTTTTCAGTTGCAAATCAAACCTTGAAATGCATAGAAGAATTCATACTGGAGAGAAACCTTACAGGTGTAAGGAGTGTGGCAAAACCTTCTGTAAAAAGTCATCTTTTGTATATCACTGTAGACTTCATACTGGAGAGAAACTTCATAAATGTGAAGAATGTGACAAAGTTTTTATTCGCAAATCAGGCCTTGAATATCATAAAAGAATTCATACCGGAGAGAAACCATACAAATGTAAGGTGTGTGACAAGGCTTTCGGCCGTGATATACACCTGGCACGACATACTAGACTTCATACTGGAGAGGAACCTTACAAATGTGAAGAATGTGACAAAGGTTTTAGGTGCAAATCAAACCTTGAAATACATAGAAGAATTCATACTGGAGAGAGACCTTACAAGTGTAATGAGTGTGGCAAGGCCTTCAGTCAGGTGTCACCCTTTGTATACCATCGTAGACGTCATACTGGAGAGAAACCTTACAAGTGTAATGAGTGTGGCAAGGCCTTCGGTCAGATGTCATCTCTTGTACGCCATCGTAGACTTCACACTGGAGAGAAACCTTACAAATGTGAAGAATGTGATGCAGTTTTTAGTTGGAAATCAAACCTTGAAATACATAGAAGAATTCATACTGGAGAGAAACCTTGCAGGTGTAATGAGTGTGGCAAGACCTTCAGTCAGATGTCATCCCTATTATGCCATCGTAGACTTCATACTGGAGAGAAACCCTACAAGTGTAATGAGTGTGGCAAGACCTTCAATCACAGATCATCCCTTACATGCCATCATAGAATTCACACTGGAGAGAAACCTTACAAGTGTAATGAATGTGGCAAGGTTTTTAATCAACAAGCACACCTTGCACGTCATCATAGAGGTCATACTGGAGAGAAACCTTACAAATGTGAAGAATGTGACAAAGTTTACAGTCGCAAGTCAAGTCTTAAAAGACATAGGAGAAATCATACTGGAGAGAAACCTTACAAACATTAGATTTGTGACAAGGCTTTTGGGCGTGATTCACACCTGGCACAACATAGTAAAATTCACACTAGAGAGAAACCTTACAAGTGTAATGAGTGTGGCAGAGCCTGTAGTGGGCAGTCAACACTTATTAACACCATGAAGCAATCCACGGTATAGGAAAACTTTACTAATGTAATTATTGTCACCCAGTCTTCAGTAACGCTACAACCAATGTGCGTCCTCCAATGCAAATCATTGGAGAATCCATAATGAATGGATTCTTGCAAGTGTAATCAAATTCACAAATGTTTTAGACATTGTTCATACCTTTCAGTTCATTGGCGAACTCATACTCGAGATACCCCTTACAAATGTCATAACTGTGGCAAGGTCTTCAGTCAATTCTCATCTTATGTAGAACAGAAAAATTCATACAGAAGAGAAACCTCACAAATGTGATTATTTCGGCAAAGCCTTCAGTTCACGTTCACACCTTATTAGATATTAGATGGCTAGGTGCGGTGGCTAAAGCCTGTAATCCCAGCACTTTCGAAGGCTGAGGCGGGTAGATCACGAGGTAAAAAGATCGAGACCATCCTAGTCAACACGGTGAAACCCCGTCTCTACTAAAAATACGAAAAAAAAAAATTAGCTGGGCATGGTGATGCATGCCTGTAATCCCAGCTACTTAGGAGGCTGAGGCAGAATTGCCTGAACCCAGGAGGCGGAGGTTGTGGTGAGCCGAGATCACACCATTGCATTCCAGCCTGGGTAACGAGTGAAATTCCGCCTCAAAAAAAAAAAAAAAATAGATATTAGAGAATCCATACTGGACAATAATCTTACAAATGTCGTAAGTGTCCTAAGGTCTTTAGGCAGAGGTCACTGCTTGCAGAACATTGGAAAATTCATTTTTGGCCGGGCGCCGTGGCTCACGCCTGTAATCCCAGCACTTTGGGAGGCCGAGGTGGGTGGATCACGAGGTCAAGAGATGGAGATTGTCCTGATCAACATGGTGAAACCCCGTCTCTACCAAAAATACAAAAAAATTATCTGGGCATGCTGGCGCCTGCCTGGTCTTAGCTACTCAGGAGGCTGAGGCAGGAGAATTGCCTGAACCCAGGAGGTGGAGGTTGCGGTGAGCCGAGATCATGCCATTGCACTCCAGCCTGGGTAACGAGCGAAACTCCATCTCAAAAAAAAAAAAAAGAATTTTGCAATTTTTTTGTGTGAAATTAGTTTTCAGACTTTTCCCCCTAATTTCTTTGCCTAGTTTTGGCAAGCCATAATAATGATTTCATAAATTATCTTGGGGAGTAGTCCCCCCTCTTCTGCTTTCTGGAAGAAATTGTATATAATTGCTGTTAATACCTCTTTACAGGTTTAATATAATTGTTTAGTGTTAGGCTGAATGGGAGGGTTTCTTGACATGGGATGCTCGGAATTTGAGACCAGCCGGAGCAACAGAGTGTGACCTCATCACTTCATCTCCAAAAAACATTTTTTTTGACTGGGCGCGGTGACTCACACCTGTAATCCCAGCATTTTGGGAGGCCGAGGTAGGCGGATCACTTGGGGCAAAGAGTTTGAAACCAGCCTTAACATGGTAAAACCCCATCTCTACTAAAAATACAAAACATTTGGCCAGTTGTGGTGGTGCATACCTGTAATTACAGCTACTTGGGAGGCTGAGGTGGAGGAGAGATGCTTAAATCCAGGAGGTGGAGAGGTGGAGGTTGCAGTGAGCGGAGATCACACCACTACACTCCAGCCTGGGAGACAGAGCAAGACTCCACCTCAAAAAAATATATTTTTTTTTTTTTCTTTTTTTGAGACAGAGTTCGCTATTGTTACCCAGACTGGAGTGCAATGGCACGATTTTGGCTCACCTGCAACCTCCACCTTCTGGGTTCAAGCAATTCTCCTGCCTCAGCCTCCCGAGTAGCTCGGACTATAGGTGCACACCACCATGCCCAGCTAATTTTTGTATTTTTAGTAGAGACGGGGTTTCGCCGCATTGATTAGGATGGTCTCGATCTCTTGACTTCGTGATCCACCCGCCTGGGCCTTCCAAAGTGCTGGGATTATAGGTGTGAGCCACCACGCCTGGCCAAAATATTGTTATTTTTAATTAACCAGGCGTGGTGTTCCGCTACTTGGGAGTCTGAGGCCGTTGAGTAGATTTCGTAAGCCCAGCTGAGGATACAGTGAGGTATGATTGTGCCACTGAACTCCAGCCTGGATGACAGTGAGACTTCTGTACAAAAATAAAAACACTTGTTTAGTGTTACCATCTGTGCTTGAAAATTGCATTATTTTGGAGAATTTCTTATTTAATCAGGTAAGAACACAACATGAACTCTCGTCTCTTAACTTTTAAAGTGTACAATTCAGTATTGTCATTCAACTTTAACATCATTCTTTGTTTTAACTTCTTTTTTATTTGTTTTGCCCTTGTTGCCCAGGCTGGAGTGCAATGGCGCCATCTCGGCTCACTGCAACTTCCGTCTTCCAGATTCAAGCGATTCTCTTGCCTCAGCCTCTTGAGTAGCTGGGATTACAGGAGTGTGCACCATCACACCCGGCTAATTTTTTTATTTTTAGTAGAGACAGGTTTCACCGTGTTGGTCAGGCTGGTCTTGAACTCCTGACCTCATGATCCGTCTGCCTCAGCCTCCCAAAATGCTGGAATTACTGAAATGAGTATAATTTCACTCATTGTGTAATTATCACCAGACATCATCATGGTGATGCCTAGTCTCTTTTAACATTTTTAATTGTGCTTATTTATATGTTACATGTGATATTTTGATACATGCATACAATGGGTAATGACCAAATCAGTAATTTAAATATCCATCACCTCAAACATTTAGTTTTTTCTCTTGATGACATTTCAGATTTTCTCTTCCAGCTACTTTGAAATACACAATAAATTCTTATTCACTATATCACTCTACTGTGTACTGGAGACAACAACTTTTTCCTTCTTTTTTTCCCCCCCCATTAACCAACTTCTCTTCGTGCCTGTGCTAATCCTCCCACTCTCTGGTAATGACCATTCTACTCTCTGTCTTCATGACATTCAACTTTTTAGCTCTCACATACGACTGAGAGTATAAGATAAGTGTCTTTTCTGTACCTGGCTTATTTCATTTAACATAATGACCTCAAGCACAACAATCGCTTGAACCCAGGGGGCAGAGGTTGCAGTGAGCCAAGATGGAGCCACTGCACTCCAGCCTGGGAAACAGAGTGAGACTCCATCTCAAGAAGAAAAAGAACTGCTATTGAAGTGTTTTAGTTTCTTATATATTCAGCTTATTAATCCCTTCTCACAAGGATAGACTGTAAATATTTTCTTCAGTTCTGTCGCTTGTCTCTTCAGTGTGTTGTCTGTTTCCTGTGCTGTGCAGAATCTAGTTTGATATAATCCAGATTGTCTATTTTTGCTCTTGCTGCCTGTGTTTTTGAGGTCTTACCTAAAAAATTGTTGCCCAGATCAATGCTCTGTGAAGAGTTTTCCTATTGTTTTCGTTTTAAAGAAGGGGTTTCACCATTTTGGTCAGGCCGGTCTCGAACCCGCAACCTCGGGTGATCTGCCCGCCTTGGTCTCCAAAGTGCTTGGATTACAGGCGTGAGCCGCCGTGCCCAACCCTTATTGTTTTCTTATAGTTTCAGATCATCTATGTCAAATCCATTCTGGGTTTATTTTTGTATGTGGTGAGAAATAGGGGTCTAGTTTTATTTTTCTGTATATGGATATCCAAGTTTTCCAACACCATTTATTGAAGAGACTCTCCTTTTTCCCAATCCGTGTTCTCGGCACCGTTGTAAAAAAGCGGCTGGCTGTAAAGATGAGGGTTTATTTATTTGTTCTCTATTCTGATCTGTTGGTCTATGTTGCTGTTTTTTCTCAGTAACAAGCTGTTTTGGATACCAGTGCTTTCTAGTAGTATATTTTGAAGTCAGGTAGTGTAATATTCCTCAGGTTGGTTGATTTTGCTCAAAATTGCTTTGGCTTTTTTGGATTCTCTGTAGTTCCCTATGGATTTTTATTTTCTATTCATTTTTATTTTTTGTTTTTAGACAAGGACTGTCTCTTGCCCAGGTTGGAGTGCAGTGGTGCAATCTCGGCTCACTGCAAGTTCTGCCTTCCAGGCTCAAGTGATTCACCTGCCTGAGCTTCTTGAGTAGTTAGGACCACAGGTGCGTGCCACCGCACCTGGCTAATTTTTGTATCTTTTGTATGGATGGGTTTTGCCGTGTTGCACAGGCTGGTTTCAAACTCCTGAACTCAGGTGATCTGCCTATCTTGGCATCTCAAAGTGCTGGAATTACAGGTGTGAGCCACCGCAGCCAGCATTAGGATTCTTTTTCTCTATTTCTGTGAACAATGTCTTTTGCTATTTTGAAAGAGAATGTGTTGAATCTGTACATTGTGTTTGGTAACGTGATCCCAACATAACATTAATTTTCCCACCCATGGAGACGGGATGGATGTCTTTCCTTTGTTGTGTAACCTTTCCACTTCTTTCATTACTGTTTACAATTTTCTACGTAGAGACTTTTTGCTTACTTCATGAAATGTAATCCTTGGGGTTTCTTGTAGCTATGGTAAATGGGATTGCCCTTTTGATTTCTTTTTCAGTTTGTTTGCTGTTGGCATGTATGCTACTAATTTTTGTATGTTGATTTTGTACATTGCAACTTTACTGAATTTATCAGCTCTAAGAGATTTTCCCAGAGCTTTTGGGATGTTTATATGTAAAATCTTGCCACCTGTAATCAGGGATGATGTGACTTCCTCCTTTTAAATATGGGTGCACTTTACTTTTTTCCCTTGTCCAACGTTCAAAAGCATGTGGACTAAGATTTGTAAGAGTGAACATCCTTGTTCTTATCCAGTTTGTTTTTTTTTTTAGACACAGTCTTGCTCAGTCACCCATGCTGGAGTGCAGTGGTGTGATCTGGGCTCACCGCAACCTCTGTCTTCCAGGGTCAAGCAATTCTCCTGCCTCCGCCTCCCGAGTAGCTGGGATTACAGGCTAATTTTTGTATTTTTAGTAGAGACAGGGTTTCACCATGTTGGCCAGGCTGGTCTGGAACTCCTAACCTTGTGATTCACCCACCTTGGCCTCTGAAAGTGCTGGGATTACAGGTATGAGCCACCGTGCCTGGCCTGTCTTGTCCAGTTCTTAAGGGAAAGCTTTTACTTTTTCCGTTAAGTATAACGTTAACTATGTCTTTGTCATATTGTCACAGAAAGTCATATGTAGCTTTATTGTGTTGATATATGTATGCTCTTTCTATAGTTAGTTTGGTGAGGGTGTTCATCGTGAGAGGTATTTCAGTAAGTACTTTCTCTGTTGGAATGATCATTTTTTTGAAATTATTCTATTCGTTGATGTGATGTATCATGTTTATTGATTTGTCTGTGTTGAAACATCCTTGCATCTCTGGGATAAATCCCACTTCTTTTTTAAATCCCACTTAATTACGGTGAGTGATGTTTTCAGTGTGCTGCTGAATTCAGTTTGCTGACATTTTATTGAGGATTATTGCAGCTATGTTTATTAGAGATATTGCCTTTAGATTTGGGGATGGAGTCTTGTCTGTTGCCAGGCTGGAGTGCAATGGTGGGATTTTGGCTCACTGTAACCTCTACTTCCTTGATTCAACTGATTCTCCTGCCTCAGCCTCCTGAGCAGCTGGGACTACAGGTCTGTGCTGCCACACCCAGCTAATTTTTATATTTTTTTTAGTAGAGACAGGGTTTCACTGTGTTGACCAAGATGGTGTCGATCTCTTGACCTCGTGATCTTCCTGCCTCAGGCTCCCAAAGTGCTGGGATTGCAGGCGGGAGCCACCGCGCCCGGCTTACTTTTCTTTTGTGTTGTGTCCTTGTCCGCTTTTTTTGTCCAGGTAATGCTAACCTCATAGAATAAGTTGGAAAACATTGCCTTCTCTTCAGTTTTCCGGAAGAATTTGAGAAAAATTGCTCTTCTTTAAATGTTGGGTAGAATTCTACAGTAAAGTCATCATGCGCTGGGCTTTGCTTTGAAGGGAGCCGTTTTATTACTGATTCAATCTCATTACTTCGAAGTGGTCTGTTCAGTTTTCTATTTCTTCTTGGCTCAGTCTTGTTAGGTTGTATGTGTCTAGCAATGTATTTGTTCCTGTTAGGTCTAACAATTTCTTGGCATACAGTTGCACCGAATAGTGTCTTAGATTCATTGTATTTCTGTTGTATCAGTTGTCATGTCTCCTTTTTCGGTTCTGATTTGACTTACTGGGTTTTTTCTTTGTATCTTGGCTAGACTAGTTAATGGTTTTTCAATTGTGTTTATCTTTTTTAAAAATCAGTTTTTGCTTCATTGATCTTTTGTATTAATTGACTTCTCTGATCTTTTTTTCTTTCTATTAATATTGGGTTTGGTGGCCAGATGTGGTGGCTCATGCTTGTAATCCCAGCACTTTAGGAGGCAGGGCAGGTAGATAACTTGAGACCAGGAGTTCAAGACCAGGGTGGCCAACATGGCAAAACCCTGTCTCTACAAAAAATACAAAAATTAGCCAAGTGTGGTGGTGCGCACCTGTAGTCCCATCTACTTGGGAGGGTAAGGGAGAGAATTAGTTGAACCCAGGAGGCGGAGGTTGTAGTGAGCTAAGATCATGCCTCTGCACTCCAGCCTGGGTAACAGAGTAAGACTCTAACATGTATATACTATAATTTGGTTTGTTCTTTTCTAGTTTCTTATGCTGCTTCATTAGATTTAGTGTCAGTTTGCCCCACTCAAGACCCAAGGATTTTGATCTGTGCGTAATATTTGCGAGCGTGTTGTTTGTTTTCCACATATTTATGAATGTTATCATTTTCTCAAGGGTTTGCATTTCTACTTTCATCACTTTGTGTTGGAAAAGATACTTGGAAAATGTGAAGCTTCTTAATTTGTTAAAACTTCTTGTGTGACCTAACATGTGAACTGTCTTGTAGAATGCTTTGTGTGTGCTTGAGAAGAATGTATATTTCGCCATGTTGGCCAGGCTGGTCTCGAACTCCTGACCTCAGGTGATCCACCCACCTCAGCCTCCTAAAGTTCTGAAATTACAGGCATGAGTCATCATGCCTGGCCTACCATTTATTTAGCTCATGTCTTATGTAAGTTTGTTGTGGATTAATTTCCATTACATCATGCAATGTTTCGGCATTTATTTGTACACAGTGAATATGCTGTAAATATGTAGAATTTTTTTCGTCTTACAATTACGACACATCTATATGTTTTCTGCCAATTAGTATGTACGTTGGGGTCACAGTAGAAAAATCCTTCCTTCAGGACTAACATAGGGTTGTGCATTGTGTTTTGGTCATTGGTTGATTGAAACTAGACTTCCTAGTATTAAATTTGAATCATATGTAGTTACTCATTTTTTACTAATGACTCCATTCTTTCATGTTCCTAAAAATTAGTGGTTATGGTTAGGACATGAAATATTTATTCACCATTCATAATTAATCAGAAACCTATGCTCCTCTATATCTTCTAACTACATTTCCTAAATGTGTCAAGGAATCACTCCTCAAAGGGAAAACTAATATGAGAGTATTACAGGTATTCTACACAGTGACACCGGAAAGCCATGAGAGCCATGACGTCACAGACTTTTGCTTCAGGGATGCCCAGAAACATACACATAACTGAATGTCAGTGGAAAGATCATGAAACAAAATACAATGGAATGCCTGTGAACGATTTTTTTGATTCTTTTAAAAGTTTCTTTTAACTTTATTATTATTATTTTTGAGACAGAGTCGTGCTCTGTTTCCCAGGAGTGCAGTGGTGCTATCTTGGCTCACTCCAACCTCTGCCTCCCAGGTTCTAGCAATTCTCCTGCCTCTACCTCCCGAGTAGCTGGGATTACAGGTGCCCACCAGCACGTCCAGCTAACTGTATTTTCATAAAGACAGGATTTTTCCATATTGGCCAGGCTGGTCTCAAACTCCTGACTTGGTAATCTGTCTGCCTCAGCTTCCCAACGTGCTAGGATTACAGGCATGACCCATGGCGCCTGGCCCAAAAAGAAACTTATTTGTACAAGCAACCAGTGTGATAGGAGGGATACAACAAAGAAGCCGATGAAAACCCAGCATGGGGCCAGGTGCTGTGGCTCACGCTTGTAATCCCAACACTTTGGGAGGCTGAGGCAGGTGGATCACCACCTGAGGTTAGGAGTCCGAGACCAGCCTGGCCAACGTGGTGAAACCCCATCTCTACTAAAAACAGAAGAAAGAGCTGGATATCATGGTATGCACCTGTAATCTCAGCTTTTTGGGAGGCTGGGGCAAGAGAATCTCTTGAACCCAAGAGGCGGAGGCTGCAGTGAGCTGAGATTGTACCACTGCACTCCAGCCTGAGTGACAGACAGAGCAAGACTCCATCTCAAAAGCATTTTTTTTTTTTAAGAAGGGGTTTTACCATGTTAGTCAGACTGGTCTCGAACTCCTGACCTCAGGTAATCCACCCACCTCGGCCTCCCAAAATGCTGAGATTAGAGGCGTGAGCCACCACGTCCGGCCAAGAATTTTGTTTTTAAAGCCCATCTTGGATTCAGCTTTCAGTCACATCTGCCTGCATCGCAGCTGTTGAAAGCCGAACTGAATGTTTATGAATATGGTCAGTTTGAGAAGTCTGTCAACAGTGGTTTCTCAATCTCACCAGCCCAGAGAGTTTCCTCTAGTTTCAATCCCATACTTAATCTGTTCTTCATTACTTACCCGAGAACAAAAGGCACATTAGGGACACATTACACCTTACAATTGTAATGAATTTGGAAAGGTCTTCAGTTGTGATTCATGCCTTTTGCTACCTTGGAGAATGCATGCAGGAGAGAAGCCTTCAAGTGTAATGTGTGTGGTAAAGCCTTTAGTATGCACTCAATACTGAATAAACATCAGGTAATTCATTGTGGAGAGAAACCTTACAAATGTAATCAGTGTGCAGAAAACTTTGGTGATCGTTCCTCCCTTACCATCAGGTAGCTCTATACTAGAGGAAAAAAAAAATCTTAAAAATGCTGGGGCCAGGCGCGGTGGCTCAAGCCTGTAATCTTAGCACTTTGGGAGGCCGAGACGGGTGGATCATGAGGTCAACAGATCGAGATCATCCTGGTCAACACCGTGAAACCCGTCTCTACTAAAAAATACAAAAAATTAGCTGGGCATGGTGGCGCGTGCCTGTAATCCCAGCTACTCAGGAGGCTGACGCAGGAGAATTGCCTGAACCCAGGAGACGGGGGTTGCGGTGAGCCAAGATTGCGCCATTGCACTCCAGCCTGGGTAACGAGCGAAACTCCGTCTGAAAAAAAAGAAAACAAAAATTAGCCGCGCGTAGTGGCGGGCGTTTGTAATCCCAGTTACTCGGGAGGCTGAGGCAGATAATTACTTGAACTCCGAAGGCGGAAGTTGCAGTGAGCCAAGATCGTGCCAATGTACTCCAGCCTGGGTGACAAAGCAAGATTCCGTCTCAAAAACAACAACAAAAACCTGGAAAACAGACGCGATCAGAGCGAGGCCGAAAAAAGCGAAGCTCCCTCACCCCTCCTCCTCCAGGTTCCCGGCATCCCCCGCAAGCCGGTTTCTGCAGACCCGGAAGTGAATCCTGCATATCCGGAAGTGAATCCCGCCGAGTGACCTCTCGCCTGCTGTTTCCTCAAAACTCGGAAGCGGGTCGCGTGTGGTGACGGTGTTGCAGCCTCGCGTGAGTTCCCCTTTGTCTAGATTAGATTCGCTTCCATCGCTACTGTACCCGGTGTTAGCGCGCGGGGCGGGGCGGCTCTCCGTACCTTAAAATCCTCTCGCCGTGCCCTCCACACTAGGTAAATATACACGTCGCCATGAAATTCAGAGGTTACAATCGCTCGGAGGCTGCTGGTCCTGTTCCTGGGCTCTCTGCCTTCGGGCCATGTAGACACGTTTGTCCCATTTCTCCTCGGGTCCGCGTTAGGTAAAATCCCTCACCGCGGGGTGGATCACGCCTCGTGGGTCCTCCAAGCCTAGCCCTTCTCGTCCATCGGAGCTCAGCGCCGCGTCATCTGCCCCGCCCTGGTATTTTGCAACCCCCACCTCTCCTAATCCACCCCCACCCTTGTCCTCCTTGGGCTGGGCCCTTCTGTTCCCCAGGTTTTCTCTTCACAGTCACCGCGTTCCGTACCCTGTACTGAGGGACGTGACGAGGCCTTGCTTTTGACACTGTCTTTTCCGTTCCGAATTGCACCCGCTGGAAAATGTGCTCTTCCAGAGGAAAAACGGTTGTCTTTCCTCCTCTCAAATTCAATGTACTAGTAAACCCTGAACACAGGATACTTCGCCTCTGGTCACGGAATGTGTGGGGATTTCTCCGCAGTAACAAGCAGTTCATCAGACACCAACGAGGTGACCCGTAATCTGTCTCACTTCTGACAGCTCTACCTGGAGTAAGCGTGAGATCCCACAGGTTGAAGGCTCAGTTCCAGAAGGCTTTCCTACTTCACATGTCGGTTACAAGTCCCAGGTTGGAGCCCGAACTTCTAAGCCACTGGCTATGAATTGAAGATTCCCATGACCCTCCTCAGTCATTAATTTGCCAGAGCGGCTCACAGAGGTTTTACTCGTTTGTTTTAAAGCGTATTACAAAGATTGTAGAGAAACAGCCAGATGGAATAGCAGCTCTAGAAAACTAATTGAATGTAGTGGGGGATTTGGGAACCATGGTGTTTATCTGGTCGGTCAGAAGTAGAGGTGACAAATACTACTTGTGTAAGCTTGTAAGGTGAAGGGTAGTCTTGTGGGACTGAAGCCTTCACCTGTGGGATCTGACACTGTCTCCTTATAGATAAGTCATTGAGTGTAAGCATTGAGTTAAGTTTTAGGATTCCCAGGTGGAAGTCTGCAGTGTAGGGAAAAACACACATTTTCTTGACCAGAAGTAAAGTATTTTCTGTTGAGCATGAGAGCAATAAAACCAGTTTGGTTTTTTCCTTTCTCGGTGAAGGGAAGATAGTTGTAACAGGCTCACCCCCCTGTCTCAAGGCCCCTACTGGGAAGGCTTTGTCCCTGCTCTTTGCTTCCATTTTCTTGATGTCATCTTTATCTGTTACCATTTTTCTCTTCTGCTGTGTCTGGATTCAGCGTTTTTTGAATGTGGAAGTGGCCCACGGCTTCGTCCTCTAACCGCTTTTCATCTCTGTCCACGTCTGCTGCCTTTATCATGTCAGCTCATGGCTTTAAACCCCAACTTTATGTTTCCATCGCTTGGAGACCTCACCCCTAATTTCTAGAATTATGTGTCCAGTTATCTACTCAACTCTCTGCTGGGACATCCAACAGACATCTCCATACTTACATGTCCGCTAGTGACTTTCCGAGTTCTCCCATGCATGCTCCCCCGCAGTCCTGCATATCTCAGGTAAGGGTGACCCCATACTCCTGGAAGCTTAGGTGAACTTATTGGCATATCTTAAAATCTAGGAGATGGTTCCTTGCTTGAAAGTGTTTTAAGGAATAACGTAAAGGAAAGAATTACATGATTGCTTAAAATGGGTGAGGAACTAGAATTTCCCGTTCTTTTCAGGTCAGGGAGAAAAGTTTTTAAAGGCCTCCAGCCTTCTCTGATCTATGCCCCCAGGACCTCTCTGATCTCATTTCCTGCCAGTGTCCTCCTGGCTCCCTCTGCTGCAGCCACACAGGCCTATTTCCTTTTTTGGGAGCTGACGTTGCTCCCGTGTCAGGGCCTTCACCTGGGCTGTCCCTCCTCCTAGAACTTTCTGGCCTCTCAGTTGCAGGTGACAAACACCCTTCCTTTTCTAGGTCTGGGTTCTGACATCAGCTTCTCAGTGGAGATTTCTGTGACACTCCCCCGTCACACCCTCTTCCCCTCTGGTCCATATTGCCTGCCCTGGATGTTTCTTTCTACTCCTTTGCTGTCCACTTTCTGGATCCCGGTGACAACAAGGACCCAAGGGGAGAGCAGAGCCAGAAGGTGGGGGTTGTTCTGGGCTTGTCCTCTCTCAGTGGAGCTCAACCCTGGCTTCACATTAGAGTGCTGAGGCATTTTGCAAGTACATCTCTTATGCCTCCTTTCCAGAGGTTCCCAGGCACATAAGTTCAAGCGCAGTCTCACTAATATTTACAGTGTCCCACATGATTCTAATCTCTATTTGTCATTGAACATCAGGCTGCTGTGTCTCCATTTCTGAAGACTGAGATCAGTCTGTGATCCACAGAGAGGTGAGCGGGGCTGTGCTCTGCAAGAGCTTTGATCAGGGATAGGTCTGTGTCCCGAAGGGGAGCTCAGTCCAGCCCAGCTCCCCACTGCTACAGCATATGCGTGGTCTTCTCCAGGAGGGAGTGAGTTTTGAAGAACTCAAAAACTCATTTGTTCTTCCTGTAGATCTTTCTTTGCGTTGTCCCTGGTGCTGTAGGCAGTAGAGGGCCATCTTTCCACAGGGTGAGTTCTTTCCTCTTTGTGTGTGGTTATAGCACGGGGAGTGGGTGTGTTGATTTTGAACAATACACAGCATATTTTGAACATTCTGGATTAACTTCTTTTTTAAAAAATTATCTTTGATTTTCAGGATTAGCTTGTAATGTCTCTTTCATCTCACCTAAGGAAGTAGCCTGGAAGAGGAGGAAGAGGAAAGGAGGAGTCAGGAATGACTCTGACTCAGGTACAGTGATATTCTCAGTGGACTGCTCTGTGTCTCCTTCCTTTTTGAAATGCCACATGTGGTGTTATGATATATATTGGTTTCTGTCCATGGTTCCCGGCTTGTAACCTCCATAGCCCTTGTTACAGTCATTTATTGTAATATTGGGTATGTTAGGCCTCAGGGGCAGGCCGCTGATCTTCTCCTGCCTTCCTTTCACTCTGATGTTCCCCTGCTTTTCTGGTGTGGGTCTTCAGACCCTCCTCGAAGAGCTTCCCACCCTGTACCCACGTAGAAGGAATGTTGATTTCACGGGCTTCCATAAAAACCCAGCAGGGCTGTCCGGGCGAGGTGGGTCATGCCTATAATCCCAGCACTTTGGGAGGCTCACAAGGGTAGATCACAAGGTCAAGAGATCGAGACCATCCTGGTCAACAAGGTGAAACCCCGTCTCTACTAAAAATACAAAAATTAGCTGGGCATGGTGGTGCGTGCCTGCAGTCCCAGCTACTCGGGAGGCTGAGGCAGGAGAATTGCTTGAACCCAGGAGGCGGAGGCTGCAGTGAGTGGAGATCGTGCCATTGCACTCCAGTCTGGGTAACAAGAGCGAAACTCCATCTCAAAAAAAAACCCAATAGGGCAAGGTTCCATGAGTTTCTGGGTGGCATAGGTGCCTCTTCAATATGCTTTATAATAAACTGGGTAAAGGTAAGTAAGTGTTTCCCTGAGTTCTGTGAGCCACTCCAGCAAATTAATTGAACCCAAAGAGGGGATCATGGGAATCCCAGTTTGAAGCTGGACAGTCAGAAGTTCTGAAGGCCTGGACTTGAGACTGGTGTGTGCGGAGGCAGTCTTGGAGACGGAGCCATCCACCTGTGCGATCTGACACTGTCTCCAGGTAGACAGTGTCGGAATTACATTGGAGGATACCCAGCTGCTTGGTGCGTGGGGAAAGAACTCACACACATTTAGTCACAGAAGTCTTCTTCTGTGTCGATGATTGTTGTGGCGTGACAGTAGAGGAAAAGCAAGATTTGAGGAGAATTTTTCCTTATACTCATCGGGCATTGGAGATGTCAGTTCTCTGAGTCTGAAGCGTCCTGCCTGTCATGTTTGCTCGTACTCACCCGTGTCTTCCCTCAGTCTAACTTACCTAGGAAAGTCTAAATTACCACTTTATTTTTGCAGGTGACTTTTGCAGATGTGAATTACTGTGCCTGGCCTCAGTGTCCTATTTTTTAAGATATTTGTCATAATTTCCTTTTAAAATTTTTAGAGACAGAGTTTCACTGTGTGTCCAGATGGCAGTGTGGTGGCTTATTCATAGCACACTATAGCCTTGAACTCCCTCCTCGGCCTCTCAAATACCTGGTGATAAAGGCACACACCATCATGCCCAGCTTTCACAGCTATTTATGCAAATGTGCATGTCACCATGTGTATAAAAATAAAAATGTATATATAAATTGTACTTAGTTTGGCCGGGCGCTGTGGCTCAAGCCTGTAATCCCAGCACTTTGGGAGGCTGAGGTGGGTGGATCATGAGGTCAAGAGATCGAGACCATCCTGGTCAACATGGTGAAACCCCGTCTCTACTAAAAATACTAAAATTAGCTGAGCATGGTGGTGCGTGCCTGTAATCCCAGCTACTCGGGAGACTCAGGCAGGAGAATTGCCTGAACACAGGAGGTGGAGGTTGCGGTGAGCTGAGATCACGCCATTGCACTTCAGCCTGGGTAACAAGAGCGAAACTCCGTCTTACAAAAAATAAATTAATTAATTGTACTTAGTTTATAAACATGAATCTATATCAAGGTATAGAAAATGGTAGACCATAAAAATATATAGAAAGTTGAACTCCAATCTCTATTAAATACTCATATCGAAAAATATGACTAATAGTTTTTAAAATATTGAGCTGGGGGTCTCACTAGGTTGCCCAGGGTGGTTTCAAACTTCTGGGCTAAAGCGATCCTCCTACCTCAACCTCTGGAGAAGCTAGGATAATAAGCACATGCCACTACCCCTTGCCTATAAATATGTTCATTTTATGTCGATTTAAATGTAGACATTAGATATTAACAAAAGCCCAGTGAAATTCGTTAATTTATTCCATTAATAAAATAGTGATACATAATTAGAAAGTTCATTATATTACATATTCATTTAATATATTAAGGGTAAATAAAAATGCATTAGGAAGTTACTGGAGTATTAAAAATCAGGACAAAAATAAATTGCTCTATCAAGCAAGAACATGTCATGAAACATCATAATTATTAGTAAACATGGGATATACTTCTTAGAATTCAAAGGAAGGAAAAGGGGGCTTGTCTGTGCTGTAGCCAGTCATCACTCCACAGGATGCCTGAACAGAGACCAGAAGCAGAGGGAAAAGGCAGAGACACACACACACACACACACACACACACACACACACGAGAGTGGTACGGGAAGGGAAGAGTGAGCTGAATCTACTAAAACTAATGGATGACCTAATTGTAACCAAGGAAAAGAATGTCATTTTAGCATATTACCTAAGAAGAATATACTAAAAACAAGTTTCCTTCTTCAGCAGCACTTTTTTTTTTTTTTCGTCACCCAGGCTGGGGTGCAGTGGCATGATCTCAGCTCGCCGCAACCTCTGCCTCCCCGCCTCAAGCCATCCTCCCACCTCAGTCTCCCAAGTAGCTGGGATTACAGGTGCATGCCACACAGAGGACTAATTTTTGTAATTTTAGTAGAGACTGGGTTTCACCATGCTGCCCAGGCTGGTCTTGAGCTTCTGACGTCAAGTGATCCACCTGCCTTGGCCTCCCAACGTGCCAGGATTACAGGTGTGACTAAAACAAAATACAAAACTTAGCTGGGCATGGTGGCAGGCGTCTGTAATCCCAGCCAACTCCAGAGGCCAAGGCACGAGAATTGCTTGAACCTGTAGGTTAAGTTTGCAGTGAGCCACGATCATGCCACTGCACTCCAGCCTGGGCAACAGAGCGAGAGTCCGTCTCAAAAACAGCAACCACCACAACCAAAATATACCCTTTTTACCCAACATAGCTGCTGCACAAGACTCCCTGCAGGCTTTATGGGAGGATCATGATGAGAAAATCTCCCTGAATGTAGCCAGGTCCAAAACGTGGAAGAGAAACAGATTTTTAAATTGTTTTTTAACTGCCTGCTGTCAGATATTTAGGTTGATTTTATGTTTTAAAAGGGATGGAATAAAACACCCTCTATCACTAATGTCTGTGTCTGAACATGCCATACTTTTCCCAGTCATTAAGATTTATGACTTAGAAATAGTGACTCACTTGTTTAGCTTCAAATGGAATCTAAATTCAGGTAGAAGAGATTTCCTCTTCCTGAACTCTTTGTTTTGAGATGGAGTCTCGCTCTGTGGCTTAGGCTGGCACGATCTTGGATCACTGCAACCTTCACCTCCCAGGTTCAAGCGATTCTCCTGCCTCAGCCTCCTGAGTAGCTGGGATTACAGGAATGTGCTACCACAGCCGGCTAATTTTTGTATTTCAGTAGAGACGGGGGTCACCATGTTGGCCAGGCCAGTCTCGAAGTCCTGGCCTCAAGTAATATACCTGCCTCAGCCTCCGAAAGTGCTGGGATTGCAGGTGTGAGCCATCATGCCCGGCCTTCCTGAACTCTTTTTCCAAAATTTACCAAGTGTTTGCACACATTTTTTTTTTTTTTGAGATTGAGTTTCACTCTTGTTACCCAGGCTGGAGTGCAATGGCATGACGTCGGCTCACCACAACCTCCGCCTCCTGGGTTCAGGCAATTCTCCTGTTCTCCTGACTCAGCCTCCTGAATAACTGGGAATACAGGCATGCGCTACCATTCCCAGCTAATTTTTTGCATTTTTAGTAGAGATGGGGTTTCACCATGTTGATCAGGATGGTCTCGATCTCTTGACCTCATGATCCAACCGCCTCGGCGTCCCAAAGTGCTGGGATTACAGGCTTGAGCCACTGCGCCTGGCCTGAAATAAATTTTTTTTTTTATGGAGTTTCACTCTTGTTGCCCAGGCTGGAATGTAATGGCACAATCTCGGCTCACCGCACCCTCCACCTCCCAGGTTCAAGCAATTCTCCCGCCTCAGCCTTCCAAGTAGCTGGGATTACAGGCAAGTGACACCACACCCAGCTAATTTTGTGTTTTTAGTAGAGACAGGGTTTCCCCATGTTGGTCAAGCTGATCTCAAACTCCCGACCTCAGGTGATCTACCTGCCTTGGTCTCCCAAAGTGAAGGGATTACAGGCATGAGCCACCGTTCCCAGCCAAAATAATTTTTTAAAAAGAGAGAAGCCAGATCATGCGCGGTGGCTCATGTCTGTAATCCCAGCAGTTTGGGAGGCTGAGCTAGGCAGATCACAAGGTCAAGAGATCGAGACCATCGTGGCCAATATGGTGAGACCCGATCTCTACTAAAAATACAAATATTAGCTGGGCACGGTGCCCTGTGACTATAGTCCCAGCTACTCAGGAGGCTGAGGCAGGAGGATTGCTTGAATGGCAGTGAGCCGAGATTACACCACTGCACTCTAACCCGGCCACACAGTGAAACTATGTCTGAAAAAAAATGAGAGAGAAGCCTATAAAAATAGCAATAAAACAACAAAAATAATACAGGAAAACAATATAGTGTAACTATTTAGAAATTTACATTTCTTGAGTTAATGTAAGTCATCAAGAGATGATTTAAAATATATGGGAAGCAAGGGGCAATTTAAAGTATTTGAGAGGATGTAAAGGATGTGCATACGTTATATGCACATAAAATCATGTGTCACTTAATAGGGATTTCTCCTGAGAAACGTGTTTTCAGTGTTATCTTTATAGACTGTACTTACATAAACTGAGATAATATAACCTATTACACGCGGAGCATACATGGTACAGCCTATTGCCAGAAACCTATACAGCATGTTATATAGTAAACACTGTGAGCAACGATAACACAATGGTAAATACTTGTAACTCAAAACATGTGTAAACATAGAAAA